GAACAAAACTGTCTCCTTCATAAGAGCGTGTGTTCAGATCTCACTGCTGCTGCTTCGGTCAGAAAAGTTGAGTCTGAAATGGAACTGACAGAGGCGGCGACATCTTGAACACTCCTCGTATTGAAGGTACAAATTTTCCTTTTGCGTGGAGTCGTATGTAATTAGCGCCGTGCGAAATGGTAATTGCAAATTTGAAATTGATCTGCAAATCAACTGAGGCTATTTAGTTATAACCTTGGGAACATGAGTAAACGCTTGGAATCGCAAAGTACGAGTATTATGTACTCTGATACTGGAGGTCGGTCATTTTGACAAGTTTGATGTGTTAATTAACGCTAACAAACTACCGGGCGTTAAAAGTTAAGGCGCACCACCGAACGGAGGCCTAGTATTGCAAGAACCACGCATTTGGTTGTGATTCCTGAGTTTAGAGCCCAGTCCACAAGAAGCCTCTTCGCTAGCAATCTCCAGAGACCGAAGTCCGACTTGAGAAGCTGACAATCGCTCAGCTGGTCCAATAATTTCCCCTACTTCGTGTTTCCTTAATTTTCCTCCTTTGTCTCTGAGGTCGACTCTTACTTTCAGATTTATCGATTAAAATTCTTCAGGTATTTACAGTTTCCTTCATGCACGCTGCATATGCCGTCCCTCCCCGGCCCCAACTTTGTTTCGTTATCCTTACATCTTAATATTTGGCGAAGTTTGCAAATTACGAAGTCCCCTATTACGCAGTTTTCTCAAGTTCCCTGTTACTTCCTCTCTCAATAAGTTCTGTCCTTTGGTTAAGAGATCAAACGTGCGACCGCCCGAACCACGTCGACGCCAGGGCGATGTTTGGATACATTTTGAGTACCTCAGTTCACGTGGTGACTTCAGGCGCAGGACGAGTTTTATTATCCCTTCCCTCTCTTATTTATCTTTTCTTAGTTTCTCCCTTCCTAATACTCATCCTTCAGAACCCTAAATGCTCCGCGCCTGAGTAGAGCGACTTAATATTTGTTTGTAACCAAGATATATTCTCTTAAACTGAATTACTGGAACTACAGTACGTCTTTCTCGCAGATTTTGGTGTCTTGAACTTTGAAACCGGAGGAAATAATAATTTCTCTGCAGGTTATGCAGTTTATTGCTGCCCGTGCAGCAAGCCCACAGTCTGAGACGCTTGCCAAGAAGCTATTCGACTTTAGACCGCCTACACTCTCATTACTGTCGTTTATGGAATGTCCCCAACTTTGCATGCTAACCAACCAGACTGAAACAAAAGCTTCTGGTAAGAACTTATGAAGCCTAGTTCCGTCAAGTCTTTCGACGTCTATGGTGAGACTAGCAAAAAGCATAAGCTTACGTGCTTTATTTCCACATTACAAAATCCGACTTCGTTAAATGCGTCAGACGTGCCTCAAAGTTTCTGCTCCTACACACACTTTCAACTGAATATTACAAAGGCACGGACACTTCAGATGTTGCTGGGAATGAAATTGGTGAAGTGGCTGGTAACTACAGTCCTTCAGAAGAATTTAAGTTTCTCACAGTGGTGAGTCCGAAGGTGGCGGTCTTCTAGGCTGTAGCGCCGCGTAGTCTGGTAGAAGTTTGCCGACGTTTCAGAGGTAGGTCCTTGCTGCCTTTATCATCAGGGCGATTAGTGTGGAATCGGTTTGAGATATAGGAGCCAGTCAAGGCGAGGCCTTGGCCGGACCGTTGAGCATTTGGGTCAGGCTACGGCTTGGCTTTATCGCCATGGCGATGGAGGCAGCAAGGCCCTAAGAAACCCCGGTAGACTTCCACCAGACTACTCCTTTGGTGCTTATGCCAGTCGGTGTGCGATGCGTATAATTTTTAGCAAAAGTTGATTTTTGCTTTGCAGACTTCGCACACGCCCTGTAGTGATTCATTCATTATTCACGTGGCTTCGTTCCGGCTCCGTACAATAGAAAAGGCACCGCCGTGAAAGACCCGGTCTCTGCTTCCTGAATTCTCAATGACTGTCTTTCTAATCTTGGAAAGTTTGCCTCATCCGCTCTCAAAGACACTTCGGAACCTGTCGAAGTGGCCGCGCGGTCTAAGGCGCAGATCTCGATCGCAAGAATACTGGGGTCGTGACTTCGTACCCTACGAGACGTCTTTCTCCGTTGTGCTGTTTGTGTAGGTAAAGAGTTTGCAACAGGAAGATCTCCCTGTCCAATAATTTCTGCCAAATGTCTAAAAGGCTCCGTAATTGCAATAGTACGTCTATTTCTTCAATTGGGAAAGCCTTAAAGAACTAGGCCTAATCAGTACAAAGCTCGGAGGAGGACAGGAAGAAGTTTCTTTGCAGAATTTAATTCGATTCCAGTCAAAAGTAAACTCTGTTCTTACAACTCAGCGAACCCGTGTAGGAAATGAAGCTTTTATCCGTTCCATTACCTTAGGTATTTTATTTTCGGGTAATATGGAGGTGCAAAAACCAAATTTTTATTTGGCTTCCGAAAGGAACGTTTAGAAGGCTGCGTGCTATCTGCGTGCGTATCTTACGCATGAAATATTTCGGGCGTACTGATAACCTTTGATGACAATCATCTGTAAGTCATGACAAAAGTTGAGTATCGATTAATTTAGAATTTATGATCGCTTTATATTACATATGGTGACACTTCACTACAGGCAGGCATCAAAATGTCTTCTTAGATTTCTAGTTGTAAGCCTATAGCTGAAAACTCTTATGCTGTGACAAAATGAACTCCCAGGCCTGTATCTTGATTTTCCTAGAGTCAAGAAACATCTAAGTCCCGCTCAGACGAGAATACTCATAAACAGATTTTAACACATTTTAATATTATTAATAACCACCTCTGTTTTTCGTCGCTTCTCCAGGATTCAGCTTTTTTCTGCAGTTTCCCTGGGAGATTCTTGAGGGCTCTGGTTTTCCATGTATCTTTATAGAACCAATTACTTGATTTCGAGATTTTAATGCGTATCATTTTACAGCCGTTCAATATTTTAAGATGAGTGAGACATTTGCAAGTGCTTCAGTTTGAATCGCAATGCAAAAAGCGATGTTCCTCTTTAACCATAATCAAAGAATTTCTTCGAGTGCACGTCTGAGTCATGACGCGGATAAGCCTGGTCCACTTCTCCTGGGCCTTACAAAATATGGGTCATGTTGCCGATAAACAACGCACCTATTAATCTCATCATATCTGTCCGTCTGTCTGTCCATCAATCTGGGTCTTCCGCAAGAATCATCATGCTCTTCCCGACAGCACTGATAAAATTAGACCAATACAAGGCATTTTATACTTGGTGACATTTGAGGTTCTGGTGGCGGTGAAGAGAGATGTCGATGCTGTTCTGGGATGTGATGTCGTGTCAACTTGTACGCAGATGCCAACATTCCCGAGAAACGCTGTCTCCATGTAAATCTAAGGATCTCCAAGCACGGCCAGTTACATTCGGTATTGCCGTTTCTCTGGGCTTCGGATGAAACCTTGAAGCGTAACTGTGCGTGATTTTGTAGTCTGCTGGAATGCTAACCAGAACAGAATTCTCTTTCGCGCCTTCTGTGGGACTATCGGCCTCGTTGAACCTGGTAGGGGCATGACAATTTTACTAATAGCGAGCGGGAAAACGAGGTACCTCAAAAGCCATGGCCCACTTGGCATCTTTTCATGTCTTTCAGTGATGAAGAAATCACATTCCTGTAAGAACGCTTTATAAAGAGTCGCATTTGCACGTTTGAGAGGGACGTAAGATTTTTCAGTGCTAATAGTGCGACATTTATACAGCTGAGACGATTAGTAAGTCAGTCAATTCACTCACGACTTGGACTGTACTGCCAAGTGACACACGAACATCAATTGACTCCGTACCACTCCGATGGTGAGAGCAGAATTCTATTTTCCTGTTCATTCAGGGATTTAAGACGTAAGACGTGTGGACAGAGATGTCTCGTGGAGCTGGACCAGGACGACGGTGTAAAAACCAATCATTTCGTACATTTTCTGCAAGAATCGTTGCGGACTCGTGGCAAACAACTGAAATGTTGTTTGTAGGCGCGTAACTAACAGTTGTAGAAATCCGCTTATTAGCTTCGTCATGTCAGTCTGTCTGTCCGATTGTAAGACTCCAAAACCATTCAACGCATTTCAATTCGTGGCTAAGATCGGAAATTAATGACAGGCGTTTCAGGCGTGTGGGTGGCGAAATTTTAGCCGTTCCCCTAACCACGTGGGGTCTTCTCCGTGATCCCTATCACCCGTGTCCAAATAATAACATCAATCCCCGGATGAGTCCGGCGTCACTGTCGCCATTTGCAAAAATCGGAGACCAAATTATTTCCTACAATAACAATAACACTTCGTGTAGCCTTGACTATTCAACTTGGTGTAAGGAAGTCCACTGACTGAGAGACTTTGACTGCATTATTTATGGGTAATTAAAATTTTGTTATCAACCAGCAGTAGGCCTGCCCGCTGCCAGTCTATCAGCAGCGGCGTCCAACGCTCCGAAAGCAAGTTCGTCTGATTGGCTGTGTTTACAGTGACAGCCGCGGTCGGCGTGCTGCACATGAGTTTACCTCGGTTAACCGCGGGTGACGTCAGCCAGCCCTTGATCGGCTCTAAAGTGACTTCTAAGTTGCTGAACTAGGGGTTACCAGCAACAGTTAACTTTGGGTCGAAATTGTGCCTCTGAATCCACCTATTACCAACGCGCTTTTGTGACACCGGGCATAAACCCATTTGCAGTTAATAATGAGTAATTAGAAAATTTGAGGGGGGGGGGGGGCACGCGTAAGGAAAAGAGGTGATGAAAGAAATTTGGAAAAGTAGGTAACGAGCAATTTCAGCCCTGATGACGGAGGCAGTAAGGACCTTTGAAACGTCGGTAAACTTCTACCAGACTACAGAAAACAGCCATCATCTGAAGGGAAACGCATTTCTGAAGCGAGTAGTGACTTCCGCATACAAAATACAACGACCGCTCTATTAATAGTTGAATGCAAGCGTGAGTACACGTGTACTTACATACGTTCAACTCTTCGTCCGAAGAACTTCTCTGTTTCGTACATAGTCATTAGCTCTTTGGCATAAATGCCTTCATCGTCGTAATGTATTGAACACGTTACAAGCTGGAAGCTCTTCGCTTTCCCTCAGCAAAGGCAATGCAAGTTTTTTCTTCTAGAATAAAGATTATGTTACTACATAAATCTCCGTTTATTAACGACACTCTAAGTGACGCTTTCAAGATAATAGCAGAGACTGCAAACATTTCAAGTATTAAGGCCGCGCTCACCCGTATCGACTCTGTTTATTGAAATTTCATGACATTGAAACGCTATTCAAACACGTTCACTTATTATTAATATCCTTTAACTGATATGTTACTTTGTGATCCTTATTAACTGTTCCTTTAAATTTAAGTAAATACGATAACTATTGTTTAATCGCGCACGGTTATACTATATTACGAAACTGCAGCACTCCATATCTGCTCGCTGAGGTTACGCTCTTGAAACCCCCCACTAACAGAAATACTGCGTTATGCGAAGTTAAGACCGTATGGAAAAATGGGGTAAGGGGAATCAGAGAATGACTCAGTTCAAAGAGAAGCTCTTTACAATATTTTGCTTAAATTTGGTTCACCTAATAAGTTAATTAAACCGCGTTTAAGTGAAGCCTCTAGCAGAATTCGTGTATGTAAACATTTGTCCGATACATTTCCTATTCAGAATGGCCTGACACAGAGAGATCATTCATTTCCGACACTTTCCAATGTGTAACCTTGAAGTGAGGCCTTCCGTTCCCTGATGAACTGCAACGCGCATTACTCCCATCCAGACAACAATTATTCTACGTTAATAATGTGCTCCCGACAACTACATTATACTCACAGCATGTTTCGGTCTGACATCTGACCATCACCAGGTGGCATACGATAACGATAAAAAGTTATGACAAATTTTAGTAAAATGCACATTAAAATGTTAAGAATCAGAATAATAAAAACGATCACATCTAGAAAGGTCCAGGTACTCCGTTTACAAGGATAGTTGTTAAGTGTTGTTTACATACTTCATGTAATCGACTAAATGATTGGTAATGAGTCTATATTGATAAATAACGATCAGTTACAGACTTCAGTGTTGGTCTCACGATTCGAATTCTCTGCCACTAAATGCCAAGTATATATTAAACTGTCGCTAACAGATTCTAAGAATGTCTTTGATATTCCAGTACGCCGCAGAATTACGAACGGACAACTCCTCAATACACATGTAAAGGTCATTGATGTTGTGGGTTTCAATGGCTCTTCTCTCGAGACTGCAGTCTCGGATGAAAATGTAACCGCAAATAACTATCTTAGGGGTAATTAAACAAAACGTGTACTTACAGGGAGAATGTCTTGTATCGATGTGGACATGAGGAGAGCTTGAGGCGAACTGTGGTGAAAGGGCCCTGTGAGGAGACGCACGGTCAAATGCTGTAATGCCGTTTTCTGCTAAGGGGTTTATACGATCGTGTGTATATTTTATTGACCGATTAATTTGGAGGTTTTACTTAATGAGATTGTAAATAATTAAATGTTTCCGGGGTTTTAATATGTATTTTTGCCTATGGTAGCCAAATAAAGAATTTTGATTGTGCTTCGGTGGGGCTACAGGAATATCCAATGTCGAAAATTTTGTGTTTTGAATTTGTGTTATTGGCTTCTGTAGCTTTTTTCAGTTCTCTGTGACCGGCTGAGAAAGTTTGTTCTGTTTGACCTGACAATTTATGAGGAATATTTTGCAAGCTAGATAATAAATGATACTGCCGTTAAATACGTCAGTTTGATGTGGTCAGTAATTTAAAATTTAATATGAATTTCCGTGTTTCAAAAACATTGGTTATTTTCCTGGTCCGAAGACAAGGCACTATAATGTTCGAGTTTACAGTTGTGAATATTGAATGTCGCACACCAGAGGGCATTACCTCCAGAAACCATCATGTCTGCTAACATCATCAAGACCTCGGCTCCAGGTGCCCTTACTCGCCGGGGTTTAAGCTTCCGGAAGTCCGTAGTTTTCTCGTTTTGCAGACGCTTCCACAGACGTAAGCATCCTCGGCAGTCACGTCGCTGATCGACCTTGTACCGATGAAGACACAGACCAACAGAACCGGCAGAATCATCTCCTGAGTCTGAGTTAGCTCAGTCTCCGTCTTCTCAGTTGGATGTCTGCACGGGCACTGTCCAGGCCATCATGCCTAGGCCTGGGCCTTGTACCGCAGACAATGTTCTAGTCCGCGCCGGGTTCGGGGCTGGTTCATACATCATACAGGGCTTTTTATGGACTTTATCGAGTTACTCTTTCTCGCAGGAAGGAGTTGTTCGAGGTTCCACTCGCCTTTGATCGTGACACAGTCCGGATCCGGATAAAATACAACCGACTGAGCTTCAGGCGTTAAAGAATTCATTAAGAATTGCTGGCATTTATGCAGTAAAATAAAAATGTATTAAAGACACGAAGAATGCAAATGGATCGGGCTACTTTTGGGCTAGACGAGAAGGGAAACATGGATGAAGATAAACTTTGACATCGGCGGATCCGGCCGGATGAAATTCTAAAATTCTGTCCCGTGCAGAGCTCTGTCTTCGCTGTCCTCCGGTGCGCCATAACGCTGTCTACTTCATATTACTTTTGTCATTGTTTCTTTGATTACATGGCTTGCATTCATAAACCATGATTAATCGCAATAAAATTATGAATATTCCGATCGGATGTGGACTTGCAACGCATTCCCCTTTCATGCCTTCTTCGTACCACGCACACAAAATGAACGCGTGTAGAAATGATGATGCCTGTCCTAATGACTCAACTGGACGGATTACAATGAAATTTGGTACTGGCGTTATGACACTCGAGTTTTCTCTAAAGGCATATTTTTCGGTGTCCCACGATCACTAATAGCAACGTGGCGGACGAACTAACTTGTGAGGTCTTATCGACACTAGAACCACTTAGCGTAATGTGGGGTCACACGGTGATGTTTGGTTAGATTTTCGAAGAATGTTCATCCGTGGTTCAGCAACGACGATATGGCAGCTACAGGAAACAGTAAAAATTATTGATTCTACCAGGATTCGATTCCATGACCGCGTGCAAATGAGATTAGTAAGCTAAGAGCAGAGCTGACTTCCCTTAAAAATAACGTTCTATATTAAGGGGTAACAGAGGGAGTTAAGAAGACGTGACTTGTGCACTTGGAAATTTAAGTTGCCTTAATAAGATAAGTGACGTTATCTTTCATTAATGTTTTATCTCTGAAATAAACAGATTAAGAGAAATTTCAACACGTATTAATCAGTTTTTAATACGAAGTTCAATAATCTCTAGATGTGTGGTGTTCTGTTAACAATCAGTTTCAAGTGAACATCTGTTTCGGCAGAAATGAAACAGAGTTTAAGACAACTTTTTGCGTGTTTTAGTGATGACCGTGGGAAGCATTTACTTTTGATTGCAACCCGCTCGTTCCCTTTTCCAGGAAGATTACGAGCTGTTACGAGTCAGTGAATAAGATTTACGTCGCCCGCGATGTGTTCCCTGCGCTTTTGTGTGGTAAAAATTTGATGTAATGATCTTCATTATGGCTCGGAGAATTCATATTTTGCATGTGGATGCTGTGTATTCTGATACGGGCTGCACCTTACTGGTCTCGTTCAAAAATAATGGTCGATAATCAAAAGGCACTCGAGTTCGGAACTTCTACCATCTTGGTCAGCTCTCGACTTTAGGAAGTGTCGACTTTCCTATTTACAATTGTAACAGAACACAAAACCCAGACTGGCGCCTTACGTAAGTGTGATATTAGAGCAATATATCTGATGGCCTACGGGCCATCTCAGTGGATCTTCAGGGTCCGGGAGCTGGCCTACTTCAAAAGGTCTGTGTACGAATGAGCAACTTACGCCAAAATACAGCAGTCTCTTCGGTTAGGTTAGTTCTCGCTCAAACGTCGGATTAGTCATCTTGTATAATCAAGTGAAAATATCGTTGTTTAAGTACGCATTTATCTTCTAATGAAGTTGTTTTCTTCGTGTCTTATGCAAATTCTACCAGGCGACATGAATGCCTGGTCCGCGGTACTGCGTTCTGCCCTTCCAAATCCATGATCCTATTAGCGTTACAAGACGATAATAAACCTTGACCGGCTCCGTCGGTAAACATGTGGACGTACGGACTTGCTCTGTAGAGTGCAGCAGCAGTCTGTATCTTCGAAGAAAAGCAAATTTTTAACCTCGCCTCAACGGAGGTAACCCGCAAAATTTAAGACGCGAAATCAGCAGAACATTTAAGTGTGAAAAACAAAATTAATGAACTCGAAACCAATTACAGAAAGAAAAATATTATATATTTATACATTCGTCTGTGGCTGTGCAACCCAGTGTGAGTCTTGGTTACTCGATCTTCGTTGGACTTCTTGGACGAGCGATTTGCCCTCTGAAGGCCTCTCTCTACCTGTACGCGTGACAGCACAACACATCTATGGCTTGAGTGTAATTCGAACCCACGGACCCAGTATCCAAGCGCACAAAGCCATTAGAGATTTATACAGAGTTATAAATGAATTTAAGCAATATTACCAACCTAGAGCTAATATTATCAAAGATCAAAATGGTAATCTGCTCGCAGATCTCTCCAGGGTTTTGAATATTTCTCTAACCAGGTGTTAAATGTTCCCGGGGCTCATGATAACACGCAGATATATAATACGTACGGCTGAGCTATCAGTGCCAGAGTCTAGCCTCAACGAAGTAGGAGCTGATATTGAGAAGTCGAAAAAGTGTAAATCGTCGGGTAGTGAACAGATTCCGGCCGAATTGTGTTCCGAGACGTACAAACTTATTTGCTCTACGTGGAATAAGGAGGAAATGCCACAGCAGTGGACGGGATATATTATTGCACCAATATATAAAAGGGATGATAAGACTGACTGTAATAAATATCGAGGAATCTCCCTCTCATCACTTGCCTGCAAAATTTTATCCAAAGTTCTTCTGGGGACCCCGAATCCATGTACCAATGAAATTACAGTTGATCAGATTTTATACATTCTCCAGGCACCAGAGAAAAAGTGGGAGTACAATGAGACAGTCCATCAACTATTTATAGATTTCAAGGTAGCCTATGACTCAGTTAAAAGAGGAACTATCTACAATATTTTGCATTTATGAAACAGCAACAACTGCCGTGTGTAATGTTCATTAGCTTTAACTCATTTTAAGGTTTACTTAGTTGCACACTTTTACACGATTTTTATCGTATATGAAGTTCAACTGACTTCGTTTTGAAACCAAGGACGCAAAGAGGCTGCGGTTTGGGTCTGTCTCGATTGGCATTATCCTTAGACGCACGACGGTATTTGGCGTCGTGGGCGAAACTCCCTCTCCCCCCAGTTTTTATCTCGAAATATAATTTTAAAATGGTCAACTCCATAAAATTACGAACGCGTGTTTACAACTGGAAACTTCGTTTTTAATAACAAATACGTGTTAATGTTGCAAATGCACCCTCTAAAGGAAACAAAGTAAACTGAAGAAGGAAAGGAGAACCTATGTCGATGACCACTAGAGGAGGACATTCATTAGTCATTCCGCCAGGAAATGTACCGACTCATCACACTGTCGACTTGACTGCACAGGCGTCAACCACTCGTGCAATACCGAGTATTATCGGCAGTGTGTTACAAAGCCACGAAAGGAAAACCACAATTTTTATTTCCTCCTGCTTTTTGTTTTGAATTCTTAACGCTCATTATGTTCTACTTCTCCCTATTTTTTCCATTCGTTCAATTTTGCCAAGTTTGCTTAGAGGTTAAATCAGCTTTGCTTAAACAAAATGATTGGAAGATGTCACATACATGTTACGTCTTAAACAATGTTTGTCCACACTCGCTAATATAATAATATAATCTATTAAATGTGAATTATTGAAAGCGTATTCCATATTCGTGTTGTACGTGCGATGAACGAGCCACTGCACGTAGCGCCTTGGACAGACGCCATTCAAAACGAAAAGCGTCCCGTTTAACGTCGGTCACCCCAAAGATGCAACGTCCCGTTCTCGTCGCTTGCGGAGGCAAGCGCATCTGACGGCCTGTTCTGATCGCAGGTATGACAAGGCGCAGATTGAGCGTCGCTTCGTCGGAGGCGCAGGCGTCGGACGGACGCCGCAAGTCCATTCTGGTGCAGCACACCCCGGACACCATGAGCCTTCACAGCCAGCACTCGGGGAACCCCCATTACGTGAACCACGGTTTTCAGCACGACGGTAAGAATTTCTCGCGGTTTAGTCATGCGAAGTAGTTTTCATTTCTGACCAATACGAACACGTGTTAGTGCCCTCGTCTATCCTGGATTATAAATAATTCTTTGCTTCACTAATGCTGTTGTTCGCAGGATGAAACAAAAACTCCAAAGTCAAGTCAATTCTACTGAATTATAAAGAAGCAGTTGCATATTTCAGTTCAGAGAAAGATCCGATGATATTTGAACGTGTCAATTTCCGGTTCCATTGCTGCCCTCTGCAGTAAAATGTGTGTTCCGCTATTCAATTGCGTAACTTTGTTTTCTGTGATATTCAGATATATCACGTAGGACGTAACCATATCAACAATTTACAATCAATGCACAAATATGATAAATAAGACGGACTCTGTAAGTCTATCTGTTCAAGTCCCGTCCCTGTAAGACAATTTCAACCCTATTAAATGCACAAGCGGGAAAGCGTTGCACACTCAGCTGTATTTTTGTCTGAGAAATATTAATCACGGGGTGGATCGAACCAAGAACCATTTCAAAAGAGTTATATTAAGTCCCACCTGTCTGGGTCAATAACAGTGCTGCAACGTTGAAGTGGATTTCTCAGACTTTCACCCTCATGAAAACTCTGGGAATCGAAGTCAGCATTACGTAAAGTGGTGAGATGTTTAATGTTTGAGACGTACAATTGAAAACTATCGATAATTGTAGAGTTGCCCTGACATATCTAACACCTCCGCACAGTAACGAAGATGGTGCCACATAACAGTTAATGCAGAGAGACACACTCACATATATTCACCTCGCCTACCCCCGGAACCTTCTCTGCTGTTCGCCCGCCCAAATTCTAATTGCCGAGAGAAATGTTTGCGTGTCTGGGGCGTGCAGCACTCACGGGAGACACAGTAATGCATACAAAATTTTAGTACTGAAACATGAAGTGAGGAGAACACTTGTGTGGCCTAGACGTAGGTGTGACGATAATATTAAAACGGACATACGATGACGTGGGCTGAATTTATCTTTCTCAGGGAGGGCCCCAGTGACGGCCTCTTGAAGAAAGATCGAGTTCCCTGGGTTTAGTTAGTTTTTGCATCTAGAAAGAAATAAAGCACGCTCGATAAGCGCTTGGTGACAGCGCACGAACTGATGCTGTCGTCAATTAAGATTAAATGCTTCAAGCAACAGTTTCAGCTGCTGGAAAACGATAAATTGGATTGAAGCGCCCGCTGATGAAAGCGGCCCTTGTGCAAATTACTGAGAAATTCTCGTACACTTTGCATCGTGAATTGAAACGAATAGCCTCCCCTCTTTGCTAAAACAACTCAATCATTATCTTTATAATTTGGGCATCCTTTACTTATGCAGCAGGAGACAGAGAACGTGTAGTCCCTTCCACTGATACCAGTCGAACTTCAAGGTACAACACATTCTCGGTTCAAAAGACAGTCTGATTATCGCAGACGACCGACTTCATGAGTAACAGACGTCCTAAGAACCTTTGGCGCGAGTTTGTCGCTGGCGCCGTGTTCAAGAGCTGAAAGTTCAGTAAAAGACATTATTTTCGGACAGTAGGCCTAATCATAATTCAGATTTATTAATTTTTGAAACATCTGTACGCGTGTGAGAAAGCAATTTCTGTGTTTCATTTCCCACAAGTCGAGAAGAAAGTGTATTGACCCCAGGTCTTCAAAGGTTCAGAACTTTTCCTGTAGCCACTTCTACTTGTCTGTTCTTAATGGAGCAGTAAATCCGTGCATGATGGTCTGACTAGCGCATTAAGATGTACGGCGCGCAGAAGACTTCAAGTTATGGCATAACTCCGAAGAGCATTGCGCTCTTTTGAGCACTCCTCCGGCAGAAGACGTGTCACGACTGCGCTGTCCAGAAAACTAAGTGGCTGCTGAAATACGGAGAAACATTTGTGTTGATTCTTTCATTCCACGAACTAAAATATACCCAGTTCCAACTAATTATGTGACTTGTTATTTAGAACAGTATATTCGAGTTCGTCATTCCCTTAAACCAGGTCCTGAGTAAAATAAAAAATGCACGCTGTTCCGTAAGTCTCATAGAAGCGGAGTTTGTCCGATTTGATTTTAATGGGTAAACGTAAGGATTTGCCATATGTCACATTAACACGTGAACAAATTGTCGTCTCTGTCAGATCGATGCACGCATTCTGACGCACACTGAGACCCAGATATACAATCAAACTTTATTCATACCCGACGGCGACAGACGCAATGTTTATACGAAGCCAAGTCAAAAAATAAAGACAATTTTATTTACGTTTTGGCAAGAAAACCAGACAGTAATTTCATGTGCGACATCTTCTTTTCAGCAGAGTGTGAAACTTGATCTCTAAGACCTAAATAATGGATAAAGATTGTCCATACACGATAACAGGGTACTGAAGATGGCTGTAGAAAACTTCATGCAGAGGAGTTTCGTAATTTGTGATTCTTACGAAATAATACCCAAGTCATCGAATCAAGACGCATGAAACGCAGACAGCGCTTCAAAGTGAAGTCTTAATTAAAGAGACCACTTTCGATGCTTAGGCACAGATTGGAATCTCGTGGATCTCAGAGAAATATCGTGTGAGGTTTTATACTTCCTGTGGCTGACTGCAGGGGCCAGTGAAAAGAATCTCTTGAACGCAGACGAGTGACTTACTGACTAGTTAGTTGAGCGAATATTAGCTTCTTAAGAAGGACCCTGCTTCGTGCATTTAGACAGTTCACACTTTCATTATCATCGACGTAACTTAGATTCAGTCCTGAACACAAGGTCGGGAGGTAATCTACAAGACACGCAACGGAAGGAAAGAAGGAAGCCACCTTACAAATCCCCACTCATGAAGTAGGCTAACGGTTCTTGCAAGCGATAATAATGCGACGCCTGTGCTCATTACAGACGGTGGCAAGCCAGCAAATGGAGAAGGACCTCACAAGAAATTCTCAATGACGGAGTCGATGCACGAGAAGTTGAAGCTGCCACTCCCTGACAACATAGAAAAGTAAGTAAATTTTTGTATCTGATTTGCAAGTCGCGCTGTTTCTTGTGCAGTTTCGAAGACTTATCCAAAAAGTAGTTTATTACGAGGCCTTCTATAAATCTTGTACTCCTGCAATTTGATTATTTGTCTTCTCGTCTTATCCGGTTGTCAGCAGTGGTTCATAACTCGCAGTGCAAGTAGCTGGCTGCTGTAAAACTGCTTATACATTCAAAAAAAATAAACAAATTCCTTCGTGACAAAAAAATTGTGTTCTCTTTAATTAGTATTACGGAATCTATTGATGTGTTCCAATTTTGGTGACTAATTTTCCCTCTCACGTTTGATCTACCACGATTTAGGCGTGTGGTGAATTAAGTTTGGAATATTCTTTAATACAATATGAAACGCTCGTTGAATTTTAGTGATCCGTCTTCGGTATTAATATTTTAGTGCGTCGAGAATAGTTATTTTCATCCGCGAATAAAATGCTGTGTGTCGGAAGATACAAAAAGGAATCATATAAAGGCATCCGGTAATTGTCAAAAGCTCTGCGCCTGGGTGAAACTTCAGGATGGGTCATTCTTACTTCGGCAATTTTGCTATGACGTTTGTACCCCAGAGGCAAACACGCCATTATGGGTCTTGAAATGCCGAAGGGTCAGATAAACGCTCCTATTCTACACGCATTGCTGTCAGAGTAACCCAGTGAAATATGTACGATATTTAATGTTTTCGAGGTGGTGGACATTTGGCTTGTAATCCTTTGGATTATGACGCCGTAAATTTGCAAGTCTCTTTTGTAGGCATTTATAGTTTAAGGGTAGAAGCGAATATGAAGGCTTCAAGTTGCTCCAACGCATTGTCGTTCGCCTAGAAGCATCTTAATCTGGAAGAGCGCTTCACGTACGACTCAAAGCATTTCGCTGCTTGGGTTCAGATCATTTCTCGACTATTCGGTGTAAAGGGAAGGATAAATAAATTAATACAGAAATTAAGATATAAACGAACGAATAATTAGTTCAAATGACTGGATTATTCTGTAACATTCACTCCGGTACTGCGTTCTAACCCACCTGTTTTGATAACAAAACAAAATAAAGTGCATCTACTGGAATGCAATTAATTTATTATACGTAAATTTAAAAACAAAAAGCTGAAGACAGAATTATAAATTTGTAAAGGAAAATATTATCATGTGCGTATAAGACGGAAATATTGCAGAATTTTAGCCGCGTAAAGACAGTGGCGGACTACTTGGAAGAATCGGGTCAAACACTGTGGAGCTTCATTTCCTGGATGTCCGCCATTGACCGAGAAGGTCTTCGCCGTCCGTAATTATTTTATATCCCTCCACGAACTGGGCAACTGACAGGATCATGAAATTCGCAGGTCCTGGTGGTTCATCTTCTGCAAGAGGTGCCGCCAGGAGGAGGGCGCACCGTCCTGGGAGCCGCCGATGTGGCAACGGCTCTGTCCGTACCCGTTCTGCCCCACGTACCGACAGTTCGCGCGGATCCTCTCCCTGTTCCTCATAGGGCTCCTATGTTGGGGCATCGTTTACGCTGTGTTGGGCAAAACCGCGGCTCCCGAAGGCCAGCTGTTCGGGCTCGCCGTCCTCTGCATCGCCGCGCACTTCGGAGGTTGGCTGATGTCTCTCACCACGCTGCCCGCCCTCATCGGCATGCTCATGGTTGGAATCCTCTTCCAGAACGTCGGGCTGGTCCACATTGAGGGCGAGTACAATGAAGTGGTCACGGTGCTCAGGTACGTTCCTCACGACGCCTTTGATGTAAGTTGACCCTGGTCGAGCCTCACTAGCGCTTCAAACGGCAGATTACCAAAGTTATGCTCAATTTTAGGTTAGAAGTGTTAAATTGTAGAAATGTATGCGATTTGCTATCTTAAAAATTGTATTTTATTCCTGGCTCAATGACCATTACTTCTTACTTTGCGCTATAAAACTGAAAACAACTTTAAAATTATCGCATGGATGACACGTTTTTGTCAACAAAGTAAATATCGCAACAAAACTGCGTATTTTCCACGATCTATAACCGTGTAAATGTTCAAGGCGAAATATTAAGTGTTCCCAATTTCACCCGCCAAGTTGTTACAACTGACGGTGGTCATTGAAAGGTGAGGTGGCCTCCAACAGCACATCGTTTTCACTTATCAAGTTAAATTTTGCATGTCTTTCCGACAGCCGATAACCATATCCGCGAAGGAGACCAACAGAAGCCAGCAAAACAGGGACACCCCGGAAACAAAGTTTTGACACCGTAACTAGGTCCCACTTTTAGCCACTGCAGACAGACAGAAGCAAGGCTTTGGAAAGAAGATGCATCTCTTAAGGATATTCTAGCAAAACAGAAATCAAGCGGTGCTACTGATGAGTCAAAAGCACAATGCGTATGTAAGATCCGGTAAAATCCGGTTGGTATTTGCTCAACAGCAGAGCGTGCTCTGGTAATAAGCAACAAAATAATGCAGGAGACTCGAGAAACTCATGCACCCACTTCAACATGGCACGTCCCCGCAATGTTGCATTTAAGAGATTAATAAGATAGCTCTTATCTATCAGATCTTAAGCTGTCTCAACCGCTTACATGTTAATTCGCCAACTACTGCTAATTGTCTGATAACACCACGAGAGCTCATCTAAAAAGCCGTCAATAGAATGCAAGTACCTGTTACGAAATGGCTCGACTAGTATTAAGGTCACACGAAACTACACGAAGTGTTCATATACGAGTAAGAACCTAAATTTACAACACATTTGAGTCTGTTTAAGAACTGTCAGTAAAAATAAAGCTGTCAGAAGTGCTTGTGGGGGACAGAGGCGGCCCCAAAACCGGAGGCTATGAGGGAAATATGTTGCGTCTACCAGGCATCAATCCGTAGCCGGTTCGTTACTTTTCTGACTGATGAGCTCGGCGCCCTCTCAGTGGAACGATAAGTTATGCCAGATAAGACAGGGCTCATGTCTGTGAAACGTCTGCTTTATATGGGGGAGATTGCAGACGTACAAAGTTTAGTGTGATTCAATGTAACATGCAATGATAAAGTTCATATGAGCGTGGGTCTGCAAACCCTTCGTTTTGCATGCGAGTATTAGATGTGCACCAGATGCCACTAGCAACACTCGGCCTCAAACTGCACTGTCGGTCCGTGATCTTCATCCGCACACATGACAAGGTCAGCCATCACACACAGATGGTGACTTTGACCAGCGCCATTTTGTATACTTCTGGCATTTTTGCCGTACGACGCGTCCTCAATAACATTATTCGTGACCCCTGTGCGGTAGGCAAATTGACGTACAGCCACCAAGCGCTTTGTCCGTGTAAGAAGGACCTCAACTTGAAAACAAAGGATAACCACCCCGCGTAGGAATGCATCCGATGTGATGACGTCTCGTTTTTATGCGTTCCTTCTTGGTCATGTCCGTCTGTCCGTATGATTGAACTCGAGAACGGCTGGACGAATGAGAATGGAATTTGGACTGGACATTATGCCATTTGAGATTGCCCTAAAACCGTACTTTTCAATTTTCTACAAGAACGGATTGGCGCATTAGTTGAGTGCTAGAGTGGACATTACAGAACGAGATGAAGATTCAAAACTTTGAGGGTGTGACGATGTTTAATCGAAAGTCTGCAGCCTAGCTGCAGAAAGCATGAACAAAATTATGCCATAACTTTTTGTTGTTGCTAATCTATAAATATCAGTAGTCTCTCCTTCTCCTTAGATGGAAGCCTTGGTGCATTGCTACTCTCTGGAACGTTCTGATAATCTTATGAATGAAACAGACATATACATTTAAATATAATCATAACAATTACAAATGCCTTGCATGCGTCATCTTCCCTATAGATCATTTATAAGCTTTGAAGCGATCTGGTTAATAACTGATAAAATGCATCTAATTTACGAGTAATTGACTGTCAACAGTAATTTGTCTCATTAAAATTTTGTACTTTGTTATTTCATGATCAACTTGTGAAATTAATTTCCTATTGGTTGTAGAGACCGGTCTTACAACTGCGAAGTGTTCAGTTGAATGAAAATTAGATTTAGATTTTTTTTTTTTACAAAATTGTTGCTGTTTGAGTTGAACACATTAAGTGCATTTCAACATGCCTAATAGCCCATGGAAATTCTTATGTGAGTAAGGAAGTGATCAGAGCCTCTAATTGGTGCACTGCACTGACCTGAAGACGAATTTAATTTTCTAAAAGTACAGAGAATCATAAGTTTATAAGTTGTTATTGAAAGTTACACCTTAAATTTAATATTATTTGCTTATTTTCAGTTTTGTTAATTTGCGTCTTTTCTCAGCTGGTAATTAATTCTTGGAATGTGGCATCTGTTTGTAGAAAGGTAGCTCTGGTGATCATCCTCACACGCGCTGGTCTTGACCTCGACCCCGCAGCCCTCAAGCGTCTCCGTATCACCGTTCCGAAGCTCGGGCTCGTGCCTTGGCTGGTGGAGTGCGTTGTCGTTGCTGTCATGACCCATTATCTGATGGACCTGCCATGGATTTGGGGATTTCTCCTCGGGTACGTGTGCTCATGTCAACATGTCCAGTTCATCAAAGAACACACATACACATATATACACACTCAACTCTCAATGTAAATATGCTATTTGTTATGTAAGCGATTAACAGGCTTAAATTACAGTGACCACGTACAATCATTTACACATGGTATCTGATTGTCGGAACAACCTGCAATTGCTTTCTTAATTATAATAATTAGGATTGATACATTCTGGATTATCTTCAAACACTTTTCCACATACATTGTTTATGGAAAGTTTCTTTGAGATTAGTGCCTGAATTCTGAAGTTATGAAGGATGGCAAACAGGCATTTCAAGGCCCAAGATGGCAGTTAATCTGTTTGTCTTACTGCACAGTAGCAAAGACCTTACCAAGATTCCCCTAAAACGCTGGCAAATCAGAAGGACCTTAATGTTTCAGATCTGTCATAGCCGCCGTATCTCCTGCGGTCGTGGTATCTTGTCTCTTCAGACTGCGACAGAAGGGGTACGGCATGGCAAAGGGAATTCCGACACTTATCATCGCAGTATCTGGTATTGATGACGCAACATCAGTGGCCATCTTTGGCATCATCCACAGTATTATGTTCACTTCAGGTAAGAATAAGAGATTATTTAGCATCTTAAAAGTTCAGACAAAACGGAGTTCCTTCTTCATAATATTATTAACATCCTGCGACTGAATGTTTTTCTCTCCATCTCATAATTTGTTATTATAGATCCTAATTTATCATTTGTTACAAAACTCAAACTGAACAACATTGTATTAGACCCCACCCCCACATTAATGTTTTAAAACAAAAGGAAAGATTATTCCACTTTTTAATTAAAATGCTACCACATATGAAACACACAAATGAACAATTTGTATATTATAATTTCCATTTTTACTAAAAGAAAAGGTGGAACATGTGACACTTCACATTCTTGTCATATAAATATATTTTGGATGTCTTAAATGTAAAGATTTCTGGCATTTCCATCAGATGGCTGATATGCATCTTTAAAAAAATGCTCATTTTAACCTTAGTTATTGCTTTTCAGATACACTCGTTTTCCAAATAATACAAGGACCACTGTCCATAATTGGAGGCATTGGATTTGGAATTCTTTGGGGAATATTAGCTAAATATGTTCCAGAAAAGCAAGATGTAAGTTCAATCCAATTCTGTAATTCTGATGGCACTTGTCATGTTGGAGAAGGTCGGAAGACACGGAAGTGCCTCGACTAGACGCTTCGTGACCTCCGTGGACAAACCAGAAAGTCGTTTCATTACGGAGCCTCCAGCCCTTTCCTTATTGATCTCAGACATGACACACGTCACAAACTATGAAAAACTACTGTCATTATTTTCCTGTTTTCTATCACCTTTACGTTCTGTTTTACACTGCCTCGTCACGCACATGCACTCAGAACTTTGCCGACAACTATCGCGTTATTAATGGTATTGCACGTATTCAAAAGAACTTAGTACTGAACGGCTAGAAGCGTTTTCTTCAGAATGTGGGAGTCTTACAGATGCTGATATTATAATATATGACTTCTTCCATGTTCGACTGTCATCTGACTAAGTCACGGATCCACGGAATGCAATGGAGATTGTGTGTACGAATAACAAATTTTAATTTGATTTTCTTATCATCAAACTGAAAACATATATGACTTATATTTATAAGAGCAATCTACTTATTATTCTGACTGAGTCTTTCATTCAGAAAGAGATATAAGTTGCTTTTATTATAAACATGGGTTGCATTCCTGTGAATTTCCAAGTGTAACGAAGCCCTGTAAATGAAATGTACGACAATCACCATTTTGGTTGAAGAGATGCCACATATTACTCAAGAGCAAATACAAGAAGGTGTTAAAGTTAATCTTAGCAAGATCAGGATTAAAGTAGGTATGAGGTTCTCGTGGTAGTGGGGTCGATAATGTTGTCGTTCCGAACGGTGGCACCATACAGACTTGTTCGTGAATCTACAAGGCGCCGAAACCCAGCTCCAAATTCAAGTGCATACTTTTTTAAGAAAGAAACTATTTCAGAAAGTTGCTTTATTATAAGTCAAGTAACTCCAGTATCTACCCTACTCAAATTCTGTTTGAAAGCATGTTACGAATGCCAAGAAGAATGTCGTTTTACAAAGCCTTAAGAAATATCAATTTGTGATGATTCCACAGCCATTCGTGGTACCACTGCGCATCCTGATGCTGTTTGGCGGTGGTCTAATTGCAGTTCTAGGGAGTGAGAGCATTGGGTATGGCGGCGCAGGGCCTCTTGGATGCATCACGGCCGCATTTGTGTCCTGTTATTTCTGGTCAAAGCAGGGCTGGGAGATTGAAGACGTAAGTAAGCGCGGCACATATAAGAGAATAAACAGCTTTGAATTTAAAATGTATTTACACATACTTCAAACAAGAAATTCTGCAGTATTTTTTTAATAAATGACAACAAAAAACTATTTTAACATTTCCTGAAAATTTATATTTTTGTGCCAAAAACATGCAGTTAATAAGAACAGAAATGGATGCTGTGATGGCTCCAATGACAAAAATGCCCGACATGAATTTTATGTACGGCTTTGCAATGAAAATTCTCTCCGTGCATTATTCAATGTGCTGACAAGTCCCCACCATGTGAATTGAAAAGTACTTAAGAATGACGATTGAAGAATGGCGCAAAGGGCAGAATTTTCTTTCTTTGTAGACAAGGAAATCAATTGGCATGTTATGTCAGAGTAAATTGTTTCTGTTTTGTAAAAGTCAATACTGCCCACACCAGAACTCACAGCATAGGATCCATTAGAAGGCCGTGTGAATGACACTGAAGATAATTTGTCATCACCCGATAGCAGATGTAGGACACACCACACATCACAAAATTGAAAATGAACATCTGACTATAGACATACAGAACATTACGAAGAATGAAAAATCTACAAAAGAAAATCTACAAACAAATCAATAAATCAATAAATAGTTGCATTGTAATATATAATAGTTTTAAAAGATAAAAAAGACGATAAAACCTGAAGATGATGCAATAATAGCATCGAAACATGTCGTTAATAATAAGCGCCGAATAATGTAACATCGTAATACGATGAAAAGCGCTATAATTATAATTATAACTTAGTATAACTTATTGTGATATTTATATTACAAATGTTATAGAGTTATTTTAACAACAACATTTTAAAATTACGTTTGTGTATAGACTGGAATAATAAATACATACTGAAGATAATGCGCCCACTTACTCTAAACCGAATTAAAATATTTAGTTCATGATGTGACTGATGAATGTTTCAATTGTCAGTGATTAGATGGTTTATAATTGGTTGAAATATTTTAATGAACTGTGAAATAGCGATGAAGAGCTTCAGATAAGTACCAAATAAACACAACTAGAGGCAGCAGTGTGACATAACCCATACTTCCATCACGTTAATTAAAATGACTTGGTGTTCCAGAATCCTGTTGCCACAGCATTTGAAATATTCTGGATGATTTTTGAACCAATTTTATTTGGACTAACTGGAACTCAGATTAAAATTAATGAGTTGGATCCTCACACAGTTAGCATTGGTATCTCCTGCCTTCTTGCTGGCATAATTGTAAGTATATGGCATTTCACAAACTTTAGGACAGTAGATCACATTTTTAAAGACTTCAAGAACGCCCATGATCTGCTTACAAGAGAAGTGTTAAAACAAAGTGCCATTGAATTGAGTATAACCACGACTGTAAAAGTAAAGTTTGTCCCACTATACGCCATGTAGGCGTTTGGGGGGAGTGGAGATATAGCTCCTCTCTTCCTTGACCTCGGCACTAGATGGGGGTGAGTGGTCAGCATCACGCCCCGGCCGGCTTTACCCCCGGGAAAGGACCCCGGTACCCATTGTAGAGGAGGCTGGGTGGACCCCAGAGCCGGTCTGGACTGTAGTTTGGCTAAATAAAACGTGTTTAAACAAAATCTATAGTAAGTTATAGAAGATGGCCGTCTTCTGGGTTATAGTGCCGCATACTCTGGTAGAAGTTTAATAACCCTGATGATGGAGGCAGCAACAATCTCTTAAATGCTGATAATCTTATATTGGACTAAATGGTGCTACATCCAAGAAAGTCCTCCTAATTGTCTAATACATTTCTAATTTAGTAATGTGCTGGGCTTTGTGCATTTTGGTTCTGATATGTTTTGCTCAGTGGAGCAAATTGCAGAAAGCATGAAATATTCTTTTACATGCCTGTTCAATACATTACATGTCATATTGTTTGTGATATACTTCAAAACGCCACCTGCATTTTACCTGCTCTCTCTTTTATACCCCTCATTAAAAACACGTGTGACAATTCACCCTATAGGAAGGAATTGGCCAATGAAATTAAAAGGAAATTATCTACAAAACATGTCAGCATGTAGTGTAGATTTTTCTTCCTGTCATACACAAAATTACATGAATTTCTCTTTCAGATACGCATCATCTCCACTGTCTTTGTTGCCATAGGAGCAAAGCTTAATCTCAAGGAGAAAATATTTGTATCCCTTTCATGGATGGCTAAAGCTACAGTTCAGGTAAAGAATAGCTACAATTATCATCTTACACACATCAGCATTTCCATATTCTAGCAAATGGAAATGTTGTAAAATTCACATACTTTACACAAGTAAGCACTCTGTGCTTGCCTTCTGTCTCCGTACTGGACCCTTTTCTGGCGAGTTATTTTTATTTCTGACACAGTTCTGTGAAACTTTCACATTAGTACCATCTTTGTTAGCCTCACAATAGTGCAGTGGATGACTAGCGTGCGGAATTCTGACCTGCTATTTCTAATTTCGGATTCGGTCTTCCAGTACGTAAATTATGGTGAGCGGTGCACTATTCTGAACCATTATTGGCAAACAATCTTACTTATCATAATGCTGTTTGTAAATCAGTTTTAATCGTTATTACACCAAGCTTAAATCATTTCGACAGATGTTCGTAGCCTGATTTATATGAGGCATCTGATTGATAAAAACACAGTTTATTGAGCCACCACACAGCTAAATGCTGTTGGCTGGAACCAGTAGTGTCTCTGTGACTTCCTTTCTAGGATGCTGTAACGCACAAATTCCACTCAAAGTACGGCTGAGACTGAAACAAAATAAGAAAATGAATGTGGTTTGTGCAGGCAGCTCTAGGTCCTGTAGCACTGGACTCCGTGCGTGATCTGAACAGGCCCGAGGAGGAGAGAGATTTTGCCGAGCGCGTGCTGGTGATCTGCGTGCTCTCTATCCTGCTAACGGCACCCGTTGGAGCCATCCTCATCACCCTGTCTGGTCCACGCCTTCTCAAGAAGACCACGACGCCCGTCATCGTTGAAGGCTGGCGACGCAGCGCTCGGCCCTCTCTCAGGGACATATCCATCATCGACGAAGATGACAACGGAGAGACCACGTAGTACAACCGAACAATGGCAGTGCACCACTCTTGCCAATAAGAATAATATTCTGGAAATTATGATGCAGAATGTACTGAGTCACATTCAATTATCTCTTACTGCAGCTGCCAAATACACAAAGTGTCGCCAGACTGCAAAGAAGTGGAAACTGAAAGTGCCCATAAGTTTCCATTTTGGTTTTTCAGTACCAAACTGAGGGTGACTTATGAATATCAGTATGTCCTTTAGGCTTATATATTTATGTAGTGTCCATGTTTCTGCTGGTCCAGAACAGACTTGATTTCAACTCTGAAGTGCCCGGGTATGTACAAACAGAAGTTTATGTTACTGATACTGATGATGAGTCCGTCACGTTATCGATGTTACCGAAAAATCGGTCCAGTGGTCAGAAGTCTGAAAAATCCAAAAAGGTATTTTGTGGAATGTAAACATGCCTCCCGCAATAAATGGGAAGCATTTTCTTCTAGTACTCCGGAAAATTTAAAATTTTCATCATATGAAGAACACAGATTTGAAGAGGACAGAGTAAAAGTCTTATTTCCTGCTGTATTTAACAATCCTTTCAGTTTAGAATGATAGGATGACAGTAAACTGGAAAGGAAGATTTTATCCTGACATTTGCGTACATGAACTGGGGTAAACCACTAAAATCTCCAAGTATCTGACCAATGAGCCAGGATTTGAACCCAAGACTTTCAAAATATGAAACAGAGTTCTAAGCACTTGATTATGTTGGAAGGATGCAAGAAGGGACTTCAATCACGGTCCAAAATGTTTTTTAAAGCTGGATGTGTAGGAATGCTGTCCTACTCTACAATTCAGAGTTAGACCTAACATATTTGAACCTTCGCATGAAATTAGTGGTACCTCACAGTACTACAACATGCAGGTATGAAATGAGGTTAAATACCTCAGCATTTGAAAGACAAACCTCCATCTTACAGGTATTACAGCTTTCAAATCCATTGTATGTTATCTCTGTCTAGAAATGCAACCGATCGCAATTTGACAAAGCGATGTATGTAAATTTCTGATCACTACATGTAATTCTAATGCGTTATGTACGGAAAGATAATGGTTCTACTTTATGTTTTAATGATCTTCAGTTGTGAAAATTAATTAATATTGTAACAGAAACTGTAATTTTTCTTATCATACAGATTTATATTGTACTTTCAATGTAATGATATATTCAATATTTATCTAAGTCAGTGGATTTCAAAGATTATCGCTTATACAACGATAATGATTATAGAACAAAAATATGCATTATAAATAATAAGAGCGGGAGTAGCTTAGTCAGAAGTGACTGGCTACGCGATCAGGGTTCGATCCCCGACAGCGGCCTTAGATTTTTCCTCTAGCTTCTGCGTCCAGACCGGCTCCGGGGCACACCCAGTCTCCTGTCCGACGGGTACCCGAGTCCTTTCCTGGGGGTAAAGCGCGGCTGGGGCGTGATGCTGGCCACTCGCCCCCATCTCGTGCCGAGGTCAAGGATGAGTAGGAGCTACGCCACCTCTCCTCCAAGTGCCTACGTGGCTTATAGTGGGGCAGATTTACTTTAGAGTATAAATAATTTCATACATTTAAATGACTACGAACATACTGTTAATGCATTCATAAAAATAAATTGAAATAAATAAATAAATAACCAAAACTGTTACCGCAATGAAGAAACAGAGTTGTCAAGATGGCAGCACTTAAGCTTGGGACATCACAGTGGCTCCACAGTGTCACTGCAGCTAAAATGTGGGGGTGCGGGGGATTTTTGGACGGGACGTGAAGGCTGCTGAGTATTCATCATCTCTGAAACAGAGCACAAAGTAGGAAAGGCACACATTTCCAAATAATTTGTATCTACTTACTCACTTTGTGTTATATCCACTTTAGGTTGTAAAACCCAAAAGGCACACAACTAGTATAATATTAAAATGAAGGTTAAAGAAGCGCAAAGGGAAGGTATAGATTGGACAAAACAGGTTCCAATGGCAGACTTTTGTGAAAATAATAATAAATGTGTGGGTTCCTTAGAAGCAGTGTACTTCTTGACCAGCTGAGCGAATATCAGCTTCTGAAAGAGGACTTCACAAATTTTAACCAGTTTGAGGCAAGATGCTTTCGACCCAAACTTCTTCCTTCAAAATTATTATGTGGATTTCAAATTGGGCAGTGAAAGGCGTTCACATTTAGGCTAGAAAAATGCAAGATTAACGCAAGATCATTAGTCTGTTTGCAATACAAAAAAAAATCTTACCAATGATTCCACGTGCTTATCTTCAAGTAATGGTGTTTTATAAACATGCACCGAATACATCAGCCACTCTTTTATTGGTGTCTGCTGTGGTAACATGCGATTATGGTCCTCAGTCCATAATCGCATGTGTACACTAGGGAGGAACACAAGTATCTTGTGGTAGGGTTACACAATTCAAAAAGTTTTATTTCAAATTCAGATTCCTTGAGTAGAAGATACTTTCCCTGGGTTTGATTCATCTGTTCAGATATCTTTGTTTGGAAAACACAATTCCTGAAATCTGTAACTGAAGTGGAATAACATCAAAATTTCTAAGAAGTGCCAGTAGTTCGTCATATCTGTCCATACTTTTATCCAAGAAATACGCAAATTTACAAACTACTTCGACCTCATCTCTTTCAATGTCTTCAAAACCTGGTGCAGAAACAGCTCTTTTTAAGGTTTTTACATCAACCCCTTAAGTGGGGGCGAACTTTATGACACTGCACCACTAAGTGGTACTTTTTTATTTTATTGAAAATGTTAACTTTTTTATATATTACAGACAAAACATATTTATTAGGTATGGAAATCAAAATTTTCATCTTCTTTAAATTTTTAGCTATTTTACTAACAACTGTACAACGTTTTTTAAACACCTATAATTTTCCCCCTTGCTATTTCCATTGGACGAAATGGAGTAATTCATGACAAATTCCTTTTAATGTCCAGCAGGACCTACTGTTCACACATTTCAAGAAATAATTTCAAATTAGTTGAGAGAAAATCACTACGCCAAAAACTACTGTTCTGTTATGCACGGTTGCCTGTTTCTCCCCTGCCATCCAAATCTCAGTGTGAGCGAATATACGACGACTTACAGCAGCACCACTGAGTTAAAAATTGTTTTGCTAGATGGCGGAACACTCGGTTGAGAAATGACAGAAATAGCGTGCATATATGAGCTCAGCCCACTGACAAACAGTAATTTTTTAAGCGCACATATACGCACGCTCCCCACCATGTCGGCGTTAACCAACCTCGCATGCTTAGCCCATTTAAGGGGTTAAATCACATATCTTAGCAAAGAAGTAAAATGAAGGCATAACAAAAGGGGTAAAAAGACATTTATACGAAGTTACATCTGATTAACTGATGACGCTGGGCGTTAACCAACCTCACATGCTTAGCCCATTTAAGAGGTTAAATCACATATCTTAGCAAAGTAAAATGAAGGCATAACAAAAGGGTTAAAAAGACATTTATACAAAGTTACATCTGATTAACTGATGACGCTCATGGGTCAATGGAGTGGCATCACACAAGATGCCTCATCCCTATCACTGTAGTATCAAGAGAAACTTCTCACTACCTTGACTCACCCGTCCTGGGATACAGCCGACGGTTGTGACGGACTCACTGCTGCCACCTCTTTTGGGCTGGAGTCTGTTATACAGAGTGATTTTGAGTCTGCAGACATAATCAGCATAACAATAAGATGAGAATCAGTTTGTAATGGTACAGAGTATAGATCACATGTCTGTCAGCTCACCATTTGGATCGCAGTCTGCGCAACTGCCACAGGCATTTTTTCTGTCGCACACAACCGCATCATCATCTTCCAGTTCTAGACTGGCCAAGCTGTACAGAAAAAGAAATTACAAGACAAGTTTTGCAAGTAGTACCTGTTTTATTTCTTTTGACTTTTGTGTATTTGCTGTAATAAAATAAACCCATAATGGGGACACAATGTCTGTCAATGGACATAAATTAATTTAATATTGCTTGGTAAATTTAATTTTTGTGCATACCAGACAACGACAACCCCAATTCACAGGACGCTACATATAAACTTCATCAGAATTGAAGAGTTGTTCCTCCGTGCAGTCTGGTAGAAGTTACAAATTGCACAAACAACAAGCACCTCTGAAATGTTGTAAAAATCTACCAGACTGCACGGCGGAACAATTCTAAAGGCGACAGCTCACTGCTGTATGAACCCGAAATCTCACCACAAAAATTCTCAAAAATGGGTTAGTATATAATTACTACGTTATATAACATGAAAATCTCACTGAGATCTACAAGTTATATTTGAAACATTTCTTGACACAGAATCACCAACATACAGAGAATAATTATTTAAAACGACACTGCAAAAGTGAAGTTCATCAATTACTCAAACACATGCATAGGAACAGACGTAGGTTCAATGCTTGATATGAAAGAGCCTTACAGATGTCACACCTCGTTGACTGACTTCTCACAAACACGTCAAAAACTGACACACCCTAAGCTTTACAAAATAACGCACATGAGCTCATTACTTGCTTGTCTTTGGGCACGTTTCTGACAGTTCCTCCCGTCTGCTCTCGGGGTGGCCGCATTCCGTCGAGGTGGCAGGTCTAGTCGTGGGACACTTCGCACGTAAGGGCCCAAGAGAACCACGCCGAGGTGTAGCGGGCCGCAGCAATTTATCTCTCACAGGCTGTGTCACAGATGAGGAAGATGGGTGCACAATTCCTACAGGATTTGCCAAATACAAATTGCTCAAAATAATTATTTCTTCAGATGTTTGTTATTATGAGAGTTCAGAATGTCAAAGTCAAAGGCCAAAATGAAGTGTGGTTTAGAGTGAAACAATCAGTGCCACTATTACACATCACATGACTTGCGGTATGACTTAAGATGCTGTGTGTGTCACATGAAGAATAAAAGTGAGAAATTTGCTTTTATTTGTTAACAAATTGTCTTTTTTGGGGATTACTGAATCTTTCAGTTTAATGGACGGCGTAAGAAGAAAATGCTATCAGATTTGAGGTTGTCACTGTGGAAAAAATTTGGATTTTCGTTTCCTCGGTTATGACACCATGCAGTCTTGTAGTTTTCACTTCTAGCCTGAAGATGAAGTGGCAAATTTCTCTGAAACACTGGTGACTATCTACTGGAGTATACCACACCATAGCCCAGAGGATCAATAAACAGAACATCATCATAAATCACAGACACGTGATTTTGATCATGAAACCTTAGAAGAATGTTCAAATTGTGCAATGAAATATGGAGTATGACACAAAACAGACTAAAACAACCACAAACCAGGATGGCTTACCGTGGTATGGAAACACCAACCGGTACTGGCGGTACAACAGCTGATCTCCACTTAGATCGCAGTGCAGGCCGCGCACTGGGTCGTCACTGTCCAGTTCCTCTTCAAGCAGATCCACCTCCTCCTATTCAACACAGGCAGGCAAGACCGCAATGGAAAAAGTTCCGAAAGAATCTGACTCATACGCGAAAGCTCCAGTCTTGACTTACTGTGTCATCGTCAGCATTCTCCTCATCAGACGCAGAAGTGTGATCTGGTTGGCAGTCCCCTCGATGCAACTTCAAGATGTACTCTAGCTGCTTCCTCATCTCGCCGTCACAGTTCTGGGGGCATGCAGATCATTACTCATCAGGTTCTTGTGCATCATTAGTCTCATAACACAGAATCACAAGGCCTGTTGAGCAGGCACGTGCAAGAATGACTTTTTCAAAATGAGACAATAATTTGGAAAAATTTCAAGAACCTAGATGAGAATGAGAAATTTTTCAGCTACAAATATTTTTTCCACTTTCATCACATTTTTCACAATGCACCACAGCATACTACTTATCCCTTTTGATATCAGATTTTTTTAATAAAATGTTTTCATAAATCAATTGTATTTAAAATAATGACATCTAGGACCACGTCCTCTCTCGCCAGTTCCTACGTCTGTACTGATTCCAAATCGCTTCTCATAAGCTGGTACACCTAAAATGTTACATCATAAACAACATGATTTATACATATTTTAACTCGCACAAATTTGGCAACATCATCAGGCAAATTCACAGGCGTACGGTTACCTACTAACTTGAGGAATGTGAAAATACCATGTGACACAGAACACAGTGTAATGGATGCAACAGCATGAGAGTGTGAGAAAGTTGAAACAAATGCAGAAGAACAAACTTCAGTTCCAGTGTTGCCACTCTTTGATTCTGACAAATTCAACAGATTGTATCAAACTGTGCAAAGCGAAGTATATAAACATTCTTAGGTTGAGACTAAAAAAATAATTCTCAAATCAAGAGCCTTTCTCTTGGTTTGATCTGAAAAAACTTGAGATTTGCACATGAATTATCTAAGGGCACGTAATAAAGGTAGACCTTAGTGAACATAGTTTCCAAAAGAAGGAATATCTCGACCAGCTCAACTACTCGTAAAATATTCCGTACCACGGAACGAAACAGCTCGTGCCCTAAAGAATTCCTTGTTGTTTGATTCAAGCACCAACCTTGAGGTAGAACTCGAGAACACCACAAAGCCTCAAGCGCTTGGCCTCGTGGTTCAGCTGTGGGTGAGCCAGCAAGCTGTACAATGTACCGTTTACATATGGGATTGCCTAAACAACAAAACAGAACAGAAGCAATACAATCATGTAGAACCCTGACCATTGTCATACGACAAAGGACAGAATATACACATTCCTATTACAGGATCAAGAAAGTCACAAAATATGGGAGAGAACACGTGAGTCTGTCTGTAGACCTGAATCTCTGAAGCTACAGACTGGATTTCAGTAACATACGAGGTGTTGGCGGTTTATACTAAGTAAGGTTATCAAGTAAATTTAAGTTTATTTGCATCAGCCCAAAAAATCACTATTAAATTTAAAGTTTAATTAACTTGAAGATTTCTGTCTTCTGGGTTGTTGCTCTGTGAATCGCCCTGATGACGGAGGCGGTATGACCCCTGAAACGTTGGTAAACATCGATCAGACTACACGGCGCAACAACCCAGAAGACGGAAATCTTCATACTCACCGCTGTGAGAACCTCAAATCTTACAACGGTTGTGTTTCTTACTGAATAAATATGTTCAATGTCTTACAGACACTGACCTTGAAGGAAAAAAGTTTCAGGATAAATATATTTGGTACAGTAACTTACGCTGTCTTACCTGCACCACCTTGGAACCCAGCAGCTCCATCAGCAGTTTGAGCACAGTCTCGGCGAACGGCACACAACGCTCTTTGGCACGGCGGTGCAGACACAAGTTCATGAGAAGAGCACTACTGTACTCCAGGGTGTAATCTTTCATACTGTTTGCATTAGCACTCAGGTGAAGGATCAACCACTCCACAAGACCCACCTCTATCATCCCCACTCGCTGGCTGTGCCTGCGTACAAAACACGACAATGCTTTTTATCAGGATTTGTATTGAATCTTTTATGCGGTAAACTGACGCTTTATACAAACCAGCGATGCGCGAAGAGTTCTTTAGGTTGAATCGAGTTCGAACCGAACGGTATTAAAATTCTCGAGTTTCGAGTCAAGTACGAGTTTAGATAAGAAATCCCTTTTGTCACGTGTATTTTGTTAGACACCAAACAATTCACTTCACTAGATACAGACTATACGGCAGGATCTCAAAAATTAGACATTTCTGCTACATAAGTTATTAGAAGAAACCTTCAGAACAAATAAACTTTGGAGCAAAGAACTTTTTTTGGAACAATTAAGAATTAAAATTAGTGGCAAGAGATTCATTTAAAGAAACCAACTACATAAATCTCATGTTTAAAACCTAGTGCTATACCAGGCATAACACTTCTATACATAAGTCTCATGTCTAAAATCTAGTGCTATACCAGGCATAACACTTCTGGAGAATGCAGTTCATGGAGGTACTCGATATCTACGCTCCACTGCACGCAGCAACTCTTGGAATCCCCTATATTCCACCAATCCAATAAAATCATTTTTACAATAGCCGAGGTAACTGCTTTCTCTTCAGGTTCAGAAGGACTCTTTTTTAGAGCCAACGTCTAGAGTCAGCTGTTTTGAAGTTTGATCGGTTGTTCCCTTTTTAATGGTGATTTCCTTTTGCTCCCAAAATTCTCTGTTCTGATGCGGATGCTTGGCCAAATGTCGAATCAATGCTTCCAATAAAGCAATAAAAGGCCACAGTTTGAACTGATTTATACGGTGAGAAGAAGCGAGCTTTGGGGATTTCAGGCAGGCAACGAAACGTTAAATTGCTCTAGTACAAATAAATCAAACCTCAGGCTGAGTTTCTGCAGTGCAGCCAGGATCATATCAGTCGTCACAGAGTCCACCTTGACGCTCTTGTCACCCTGGAGGCAGGATACTAGCACCCTCAGGACCTTGGAGCCTGCTGAGCAGAGGTAGTCACGTCCACAGCGCAGAGAAGCCAGGGTGTTGATGAAACGAGCTGCGGCCTGCTGCAATGGATGAGGTGTCAGTGCATGTGTGGGGTTGAAGTATGCTGGCAGGGGTAGCTGCGTGGGGGACTCACAGCGACCTCCAAGCAGAGATGAAGGCTGTGGGTTGGAATGGTGAAGACTCAGCACATCATGACGGAAGTACAGTCCTACCGCGCCCCCTCGGTCTTCGGGGGAACTCCGAGTGACGCGCTGCAACACGGTGACAAGGAAGCTCGTGAGTGAAGACGGAATCATTTGCATGAGGAAAGAAAGATTCTTACCAGTTCACCAAAGTGTGGACTGGCACAGTCAGTCTGCGGCTCTTGACCACTTCTTACGTTAATAAAATATACAGTAATTCACACAGTCAATGGCATTTATGACTGAAGTGAAGAGCAATCCTGCGAGCATCAAGAAATATTTAAACAATCATCTTGTTATCACCATCATCTTCACAACCACATCCATCCCGATCAGTAAATATCTGCAACTAATTTCACTGTCATAATGGCTTCACCTGACTAATTATAATAATTGTACTCTTACATGATACCTAGATGAAGAGCCCAAGTTATCTATAAAAGCTGATCCTGGATATGCTAATTAATCTAAGAGGCATCGATGTGCTGTGACGTGCATTTGAAAATGAACATGTACAAACCTAGTGAATATCAAGTACATAATTATTAAATTATTAAATCAGACTTAGCTCAGTCGGTATAGTGACTTTACTAAGACTGGCCAACCGGGGTTCAATCCCCGATAGAGGCGAAAGATTACTCCTCTAGCCTCTGTGTCAAGATCATCTTTGGTGCCCACCCAGCCTATGTAATGGGTACCTGTTCCCAGGGGTAAAGCATGGCCAGGGCGTGATGCTGACCACTCACCCCCATCTAGTGCCATGATTAAGAATGAGTAGGCGCCATACATCATCTCCCCACCAACCGTGGGACAGCTGCGTGGCTGTAAACCATATGGTATGGGTTCTCTAAACTATGGCGTGTTCAGTACGGCTTATGTATTACGTGTCATCCTGACACTGATATCAAGAAACACCATTTGTTTAATGTCATCAGCATCTGGCTGTGACTAGAGTCGCACGTAACCGATCGACTAAATAAAGAACATCAAATCTACTGCTACTTATGAATATTTGGAGGGAGGCACGTGAGTTGCAGAAAGATTAGTGAAACAAAACCAGAGTCAAACCTCATTATCGACCAATTTGTAAAAGAAAATAATGAGCAGGGCTAATATAAGAATTTGTTTCCAGTACAATTTTTAAAAATGTCACAGCGCTTCGATAACTTGCACTTATTTATAACCTAGGTTGATTAAGACAGGAAGAATATGGTCCCCAGGCTGGGAAACAGTTGATAATCCCAGCTCTATGGGTATTGTACGTACCTCCACTTAATATTGAACTGAAGAATGTGTGGAGTTATACCTCAATGCCTCCTTAAATTTGCATGATGTATCCAAACTACTTACGTCCTGACAGAGACTTCGTTACACCAGCAGCTCGTATTATCCCTACATGCAAAAACCTTACCCATCTGAGTGCTTGGAACAGTAGCAGCTTCGTCTTGACACTTCCACGCGAGAGGTGCTGCTTGATCTTGTTGAAGTCCAGATCAAAAGTCAAGCCAACTCGGAACTCGTGACTCTGGACTACTGAGCGAGAAACTATATCCTCAGCAGGGGCCTGCAACAAGGTCATAAGTGCTGCCATCACCACATTCCCAAATATTAAACGTAGGTGGTACGTCAGAAGACAGAAAGGTTTAATAACCATAATATTAGCGCCCGAGAAAATAGCATACATGACGTTGGTCCACAGGACGAGGTACAGGGTTTGCTTCTTATTGACTGGCAATCAAATAACGCAGCTTCTTACCATCTGCTTTCCATGTCTTAAGTGGGTAAGGTGTCAACATGCGAGATTTCTTGGTTCTCGCAGATTTTAAGAGGAACATACCTTACATGTTCATCTGAAATGCTGGTGCAGAGCCAATTTCCTACGCAATGCGACAATCCAGAAAATCATCAAAAAATAGTGACAGCACGTCCATTCGTCTGTTCCCTCTAAAAACCATTGAAACCAGTTGAAGGAAGTTTACAAAATTTTGTATGAAGATCATGTCACTAGAGGCCACCCAACCTTCGTACTTTTCAATTTCCTAACACGAATAACACAAACACGTTACCATGCAAACTTCTGAGATGGGTGTGATAATACTTAGCACGTCTGTAGCATTAGAACCTTAAAATTGTGGATGGTAACAACTGCTTAAAATATATATTTAATTTCTGGTCTCTCTGTAGCATTAGAACCTTAAAATATATATTTAATTTCTGGTCTGATGGCAGTACCTAATAAAGCATTTAGCGTAAGAACATGGCATCTTGGGCAGAGACAGATCATACATAAACATACTTACAGATTCTGTATGGACCAGATTCTATACGTTAACAGTTCTGAACTCTGAAAAAATATTGTGAAAATTCAGTGTTTGTGAGGGTCTACAGCAGTGGAAGTTATATGCAGAAATGGACCACAAAATTTTGTAATTATTAATTTTTAGTGCCTGCTAGCCTCACCATGCAGACTAAAACAGGTTCATGAGATCTTTCCAAAATCTTACGGATATATTCAAAGTGGCAGATGTGTCATCTGATATTCAGATCTTACGAAAACCGGTTACCTCCGGCTGAACCTCCGTTCCTAGCGAAAGGTTGAAGAGGTCTGGAAAGATGTTGCTGCAGTTATTCAGAGTTGCCTTTAAGTCTACTACCTGTCCCTTGACAGAGTTCTCCAGTGCCCCTGTCAGCTCTGCAGCAATGCCTACAAACTCATAAAAAGAAAATGATCCATGATTCAATTCACCAGACATCTAGAACACAAAACAAACACACAGTTGGGAGTGCACAAAATATTTGGTGCCCAAAACCATGGAATAAATTTAAATTAATTCAGTATCATGGCAAACTACACAAAAAGTTTTCAGAAAAATTTAATTTTAGTTCATACAGAATGTAGATCAAAGTTGTATAATTTTTCTCAAAAATCAAACCATACAAGAAATTGGTACACGGTATATAATATAGATGTTAAGATTAACAACTTCTATCACTGAAATATCTTTTAATATGATGTGCATGTAATGAAAAACAACAGAAACTCCATCTCACTCCACGCTACAACTTTCAGCGTCAGTCCGCCACCTCCACAAAATGTTAAAAATATCAGTAACAGAACTTACCAATAAGGTTGTGGTGATCCTTCTGCAGTTTCTGGTACCTCTGCTTGAGCTTCTTGAAGTTGTGGGCCTCAAGGAATCGCGAGTGAGAACCGCGTGTTGAGTCGCAGCGGCTCTCGAGCACTAGCTTCAGTATTTGTGGCGCCACCACTTTGCCCCAGCTTTGATCCACCACAAATTCTCGCAAACTGCTTTCCAACTGGCTCATCCAACTTTCCTGAAAATAAAACTTTGAGCCCTCAATTGTTTGTTGCTTCTGCATGTTTACACTTACGTGTTGCCGTGCAGCTTACGAAGCTTCTGCAGCATTCCCAAGAGCTGTAGATGGATATTCAGACAGAGTTCATGACTAATTCTGGGCCACAAACATACTTTTAATAATAGTAAATCCCTTCCTCTTATTCCATTTTAGGTATTGACCGCAACAATAATTCACTCACTGTGAACAGTTCCTGGAACGAAGGATGAGACGCAGGGTCACTAACAAATGGAAGGGCATAATATGGCAGGAACTCTGTCTCTGCACTGAACTCGGTACCCTTTGTCTCCAAGAAGTTCCTCAGCGCCTCCATACCATGGCTGTGATCAGTTTCTTCAATCTGACCGGTCGCCTCCGGCTGTTCGCTGTTATCCGCTGCCGTTATAGACTTCTCAGCGGACATATCTTCCGCTTCGTTCTGTTCTGCGTTGGAGTCACTGCATTTGCTATCAGAGTGGATGGACAAATTACTGTCAAGAGAAGCCCCGATCTGTTTCCTCAGTGGCAACACAGCAAAGTAAATGTGTAGGTAGAACGTTAGTTTCTTGTATTCCAACTTTTCCTTTATGGACGACGGCACTAGCATTTCCCAGGCCTGAAACCAAACATAGCACATGCGTAACAAGAGCAAAAACATGCACGTGCATTTCCAAATGCGCTCTTTGAGACTCTGCGTACCTCGTTAGTCTCAAAGTCTAGTTATTACTGACACAGCTAATCACAGACAGACAGACAGTAACATTTATTTTCAAAAAAGCTATTAACAAATCATGTGAAAATGAACACACATATTACATAAAGAACCTTTCCTGCTACTGTAAGAGGCAAAGAAACCATTATTACTGCTTGTTTCAAAGACTGTACAAAGTCTGTGATGAGCATCTTTCTTGGAAATTTTACAGTTTTTTGGCTGGTCATGTAATGCCCAAATCTGTAGACTCAAAGCCTCAAAACTGTATTCATAAATGGAACCTATTCTGAGTAATCAAAGGATGAAATACAAAAGAAAATAAGAAGTTAAAATATGCAAATAACAATTCTTACGTCAAAAAAATTATTTTGATCTTTCTGAGAAAAATGCTCCAATATCTTTAACAAACTTTCTTTCTTGATCCGTTCCTTCCTTGTGGTAAATGGGACAACATATCCGAAAGCAGAGCACTCTGTTACAAAATTTGTGAGTGTGGAATCCAATTCATAACTGTGGAGAAACTGTAAGAAAGGATACAAGCATTATTGAGTTAAATTTCTATGCTGTTGTTTCCATTTTCAACAATGACAAAAATGAAATGCTCTTACCTCACTGATCAACTGCATACAGCATTTCTCAGCTTCTTCATACTGTGCAATTTCAGAATGCAAGATATTTTCCGACCTAGAACTGAAACATGATAGCAAATTCTTAGGTACAGGCAGATACATTACACTGCTCAAGCAAAGCAGGGGGGAAAAACAACAGAAAACAGTTTGATTAAGGTCTGAAGACAATAATTAAGAACCTTTCCAATACATCTGCAGTTACAAAATTTATAAATGACACACAAATTGGTTACAGAAATTTATAATTAATTTTGCACATTGAACACAAAGTTTCTCTGTCTCCATAGTTGACAAAAAGCAACACTTCAAGGAGTTTCTTTAATAATAAGAATGTGAAATGTATCTGCATCGCTTGCTAAGTTTAATTTTTGCTACATGTTATGGGTGCAAAAAATTAACCGAATTTCGTTACGAAATGAAAGTGAATAATTACGTTTTCGCATCAATTTCCAGCTCATCGTCCATCGAGAAAAAGGAATGTTCCATGTTAAATCTTCCAGCGACGCAACTCGCTTATTATTTCCACCTGTATGTAATATCTAAACTTTGGATTACAGTTACCAACGACACATTGTACCTTCCACACACGAAATAATTGTAAATTAATTCAAGCATACGATGCTGTCACAACACGTCACAGAGCAACCAGACGCACGAGGGCCCGAGGTCTTCCTTGAGGCACTATGAGGCGTGCCACGGACACCCGATAATCTGTCTCTAAGATTTTAAAGTGTGCAACTGAGGTGTGGTGGCCACACAACCATCATTACACCCTGTCACTCTAGCTAGATACTTCCATACTGTCCAGTGCACTAAGCTCTTACACAAATATAAATAAACAGATATCTCCGAACTAAAGTTGGCAGACAAATGAACGGCATGCTACTGCAGTGACATCTTCCCTGATCAATAATTTCTCGAACTAAATTTGCAGAAGAATTAAGACGAATCGCATCAGAAACCAAATACGAAGCGTTTCCATAACCTTAAATCTCAATTTACTTATTAAAATAACAACAAAATACAGCTAGGATTTCGTAAACTACAGCACAATGAAACAAATATTCCACATGTCCCCATTAGATCGCCTACATCCTCGCGCACATTTACCACGTAAACTCTCGTTCAACGGATTGTACTTAACCCAGTAACTCTTAATACCCTGCTTAGATCAATACCAAACAAAAAAGTGACTGCGTACACTAGTAACCGTACATTCGAACACTAACTACTCTTCTTCTGATTTCATTTTGACACTTCCAGCACTCAACACTTCACATGGATACAACAGCAGAAGAATACAAACCCAATATAAAGGCCGGCACTCAGGCCTACCAATTCTTCTTCTCCTATGGCTCTAGGGTTCGTATCCGGTCCATGGCCTCCTCAGGCCTACCAACTTTCCCTGCAAACCACATGTAGCGCAGCACACAATCCACAACTATCATTGCACTTACCTGGCATACATAAAGCAACCTCATCACTGGGAAGCCCCAGATTTTCGATTATGGGACCATAGCTATTGTGCATATCCTGATACACACTCCAAGATTTCCATTAACCTCCACTTTGACAATATCTATTTACAGATTTCCATAGACAAAATCCAAAGTAAGGAATGCATGGTACACACATACTTAAAGATTACTTGGGCCAGAAAACAGGCATCTATGAATATCAAAACTGGACGGAAGATATACTAGAGACCTTCATCACTGAATAGCTTCTCGGTGGATGCAAGCAGCTTACATGCCTACACGTTACCATGAACATCTGCGTAAGCACCACCAGACTTGCTAACGAGTGAAACTGCAAAGACCTACCTGCTGCAGATCCTCACGGTTTGTTGTAAGCACCACCAGACTTGCTAAACGAGTGAAACTGCAAAGCCCTACCTGCTGCAGATCCTCACGGTTTGTGGAACAAATGGAGGATCAATGAGGTTCTAAAGTTCTTGCTGTGGCACTAACTTGAACTGAAAATGTAAAATTAAATGAAGTTGATAAAAGGGAAAATCATAATCTTTTCAGGAAGAGGAATCACATCGTTGGTGACATGTTGGCTGCAGCAAGTGATGCCTCATCAAAAGTGATGGATTGACGAAAGTCCAGTCTTTGGCTAAAAACTCACCAGCCAAGCATTGGTGCAAGGACACAGTACATCCCATACTACTTGTGCCGCGTCTGATGGATGCATTCCCAGAGTAGGATGAAGCTGATCCTTCGGTAGCATCTTGGCGGCTTTGGAGTGCATCACAGTATGAAGGAGGGAGCACAAAGTCTCTTGGCTTTCTTTATGCAAAGAATTTCAAATCTCCATAGGTAGCAATTAGTAATCTCCCCATACAGGTTTACTATGTAGGTTTTGTGGTTTTCAGGGCAATGAGTCTAAATATGGCTGTGTTCTGGGTTGCCCTCTGTTAGTCAGAAGTTTACCACGTGGTATCCGAGGATTCCACGGCAATGAGTCATTTTCAAGGAACAAGAGTTTGGAAATATGTAATACAGTAGGAAAAACACAAGACGAAAAGGAGGAGGAGCTATGGCAGGACAAGATAGATGGAGAGGCAGTCATTGGACAACGCATATAAAAAGAATGTCTTAGGAAGAAGACTGATATGCAGTAAATATAGCATAATTATAATGACAGTAAGAGTGTGACATGACTTAATTGTTTTATAATCTCACTTCCAGCTGGTGTTTTTTTACCAGCCCCTGTTAATAAGGGTGATGAAAGATCAGCACAGAGCATTGGTGGAATGACAGGTGAGGACCAAAGTCCTTAGACAAAGCCCACACAGAACTGAAGCTGAATCCCCAAGTTGAGAAGAGCTTTGATTCCCTTGTGCTTAATGCACATAAAATTTCAGATCCCACGAGTAGATGACAACTTGACTGTTTCCAGGTCGAAGAGTCCTCCAAAGTTTTCAGGATGTGTCCATATTATAAACTGAATCCTAATTGAAAGAGTCCTGCACCCATGTCTCCAAAGTTTTCAGGATGAGTCCATATTATAAACTGAATCCTAATTGGCCAGTCCACAGTCATTTACCGCCTGAGCTTTTCCAGCTCTTTGCTTAATAACATGCTTAATGATAAACCCAATATTATGATAAGCGCAGGCACAGAACTGTGACTAAATGTTGCTTCATTTTGAAGCATTGCCTATGAACATTATGCAGTGGAAAATAAATTATATTTTGTGTCAATTTCATTATCTATAAATTTATACCACAATATTAGCTGCAATATATGTCTATATTTTTAACAAATTGCAAATCAATATGAGTACTACTGAAGTCATGTTTATAATAATAAAATGTAGAGGGAAAACAATTATTGCAAACTCTGAAATGTGAAAATGTTTATCTATTTATGTACCAGCACAAAATCTAACGATGTCTCTCTGTTTGTTATAGAATTACATTCAGTTCCTTTACCTATAGAATGTATAGAATTAAAAGGCATGTGGTATGACAGTTATAGCCATGTGATGAAGGAATTGTGACAGACATCAAGGCCCTATCTCAACGTCATCACTGAGACAAATCACATAATACACAGAGTACCAACTTACCTTAAAAATAAAACCAGGCTGCATAACAGTAATGAGATTCTTCCGAGATGCTACCAAATGCATGCAGGAATAGTACAGAGTACTTTCTACCATAGAAACTGCCAAGTGCGCTACAAAGAATCACATAAGTTAGACGGTCGCTCAATGATCATTGCGTCCGACTCTCATTTCTGACAAAAAGTTATCAATCTCTCCACTGCCTTAAATGCATTCAACAACTGCCGAGAGCTGTTCGGGACATGCGTGGAACACAGCGTCAGTTATAAAAGATATTAGGTTCAAGTGACAAATTGACAAGATCTCCATTACTCACTTACCTGACCTAAACAAACGTCAAGAATTACAAAGAAATATACGTCATATATCAAAATATGCATTGAAAATATACGTACTGTAATTTATTGAGTCTGTGGACAGTGCGAGTACGATGACTAAGGAAATGACAATGAAAATGTGGAATACATTCAAAATGTAATTAACGTTTGTGAACATTTGTCACATTTGAACACGCACATCACACAGAGATCTCTTGTATCTGCACTCTCTTCTTCATAGTGCCAGGCGTCTGAGGACAACCTTGCTGACGCAAAATTCCTCCGCCAGCGCTAATCTGGTTACACAGTGATGGTGGCAGGTTTCTTGGTGGTGGGGGTGGATCTGGGATGGAAGGGCTGTTCGGCTGTGGAGGGAGCGGTGGGGACTGGGTGCCCTGTTCCTTAACGGGCGCCTCCGTATTCTTACTATGAGCGTAACTTGGAGGTTGCTGCTGCTGCATTACACTAGTGCAATTTGGCCTGGTTTTTGCGCTGGACGTGGGCGACGTTTTAAACTCTTGCAACGGAAGCTCTATCGCTGCACCTGCTGCAGATGAGTGGATATGCTGCTGTGAAGTTGACAGCATTATGTGATCCATGAGCGCATGCTTGCTCTCAAAGTGGTGTCCATCTTCTGAACTACTACTGCAACTTCCTGCCTCTGCCAGTTCCTCCTTTTTCTTATCGCCAAAGTGCCCTGAGCTCCCACGGTCCCTCTGGTGGTAGATGCCCGCGAAGATGAGGATGTTCAGGAGCAAAAGGAAGCATCCCACCGCAATTGTGACGGTGAGGGCTGTGGTGTAGCTCTGATAATGGCTTGATGCAAGTTTCTGCAGCAAATTATTGTGATTGTTGCTGGGCTGCAAGCTGCCAGGGCTGACCACATTAGTGGTAATATTTGGTGGACATTCTGTGGTTGTACTGGTGGCTGGATCTGCTGCTGTGGCCAGAGAGGCCTTTGTGCTGGGAGTCGTGTTGGTAGTGGTGGTAGCAGTGGTGTTGGCGGTACTGGCCGTGTACTGAGGAGGCAAGATTGGTCGCTTCAGGGTTTGTGGCCTCACCAAACCTGGACATGAAAGCCTTCTCATCATCTGTTCTACACTGAATACTCGGGGGTACAAGATCAGCAGAGGACGTACAAAACTGTGTTTGATGTTATATAATCTTCACAGTTGAAGAATCATCAGTAAATAAACCATCTTTAATGAACAGAACACTGAGCAGATGTAGACAACGGACAGAGGCACAGAGTACAAATCAGTAATTCGTATATAAACTTACTGAAAGTAAAAATATTAAATGTAAGATGCATTAAATACGTAACTTCTTGACACACGTATGATAATTAAGTGATGGTCCCTCTGAAAATGTGTAAAAGCAAAGTAAAGCTGTCCCACTATGCACCATGTAGGCGCTTGGGGAGGGGGAAAAGGTATAGCTCCTCTCTTTCTTGACCCTTGGGCTTTGGATGGACTCACCCTCATAAAACTGAGCTCCTTCTTCCAGAAAGTGGTGATGTCGCATGTTGAGGTCATCCCCCCCGGGTCTATGCAGCTGAGGGATCAGGTTCAACCACAGAGACATCTTGTGGCCACGGTAGTGGTTCCTCATCTCTGGCCGCAAGCCTGTAGCAAGAGAGTCTTTTGTTATGACGCAATTATTTGACAACTGAACAGCTTTTAGAAAGGATTTTGTGCCTCTGTGAACAGATCAGACCTCTTGCAAGTGTCGCTGTTGACTGAAAAGTAATAATTTGCACAGGTCCTGCTTGCGTAGATCCATGGAAGAAATTGGACCTTACATGAAGACCGTGGAAAGTAAAACAAGGACAAATCTTACCAGAACTTGTTCTTTAGGCTTTGGGGCAAAAATGTAAATTATTTTAGCACTGATTAATGTTGTCTATATGAATTAATGTGTTGGTTACATTACATTACATCAGAGGTGCTTGCTGCCTCCATTTTTTCCAGACCACATGACACTGCAATCCGGTCGACTGATCTTCAAAATATCTGAATGCCGTGATTTGATACATTCTTCCGCATTTTCTGTGTTCCATCAATTAAAAATAGTCTCAAAATGAGGGACAGAATAATTAAGTAGTCACCCAATGCACAGACTTTCAACTCGTCATAAAATTCCGTGTTTTCATAAAACCCAAAAGATCATTACCATTTTTATGAGAGTCTGCCATCCTGATCCAGTTGAATCAAGTCCTCTCTTTCATCACCCACACCCTGTTTCTGATCATTTTAATATTATCTTCCCATTTCCAACTGTCTCCTCCCAACTACACTTATGTCTCCCATGTGACCATTATTTCTTCAGGTTTCATGACCAGAATTTTGCATAGATTTGTAATTTCCTCTCCGAATCTTTTATTGAAACACCATAAAGTATTACATGAAGTTCATTGCTACGTATTTTTCTCCATGATAGTTTGTTTTCAAACAGCGTCATCCTGCCTTCTTACTTCGTAGACAGACGCACGCTGTCCGCCTGCACGTCAGAATACAGCGCACTAACTCAAGGATGGTACTCGTATTCTGCGTTACCTAGTTCCAGATAGAGTTGGTTGATGGGGTCATACGTATCCCAGAAAGGGGCTGGCTTCATTTCCATCTCGCTGTCTTTGTGTGTGGTTTGTTGTCGGTCTGGAACTGCGCTGTTTGGGTCCCTGAAACATATCAAGAACTTTAAGCAAGGAGAAAATTCCACGGACTACTACGAATACTGAACACGTACATTATCAGTGTCGTTTAAATGATGACTTTTATTTATACAGAATCACAAGTCCAGAATTGCAGAACAGATTTTCATGAAATTTCATATTAGAAATTCTTTACAAAATTTGTTGACACATTCCAGTATCGGTTAAAATTGGACAATAATGCCGTAAAGCGCTTAGCGCACACTGCACCAAGTTTAACCAGAATACATTCAAAAGTTCTGAAGCTGCATAATGGAAAGAATTCTGAATCGCAATTTCTGTGTGTAAAAGTGAATAAAACACAATCAATTTTTGGTTGCTTACGTCTGCCGTCATCATCTTGCGGTTAATGATTGGCAATGGAACCACCAGTGGCAACTGACAGAAAAACTTACCAGGGTCTTTGCCCGTTCTAAAGTATGAAGCGGAATTTTACTGAAGGGCAGAAATAATCGGAAACGTTGCCCGCCATTATAATGAAAACAAAACAACAGAAATTCGACCAATGAACACGAAGCTCCGAAAACAAGTCATTGCGACTCCTTTTTTTCAAATGCTTCAACCTAAGAGGAATTGTGAAACGCCAACTTTACAATTTAGTTGTGGTATTAAATTCTGCACATTAGTTGCGTGTGTACAGATTCCAATACTGTTCAATGCGCCAGATATAATCTTAAAGTTCCGCATCATAAGATCGTATGTAATTGTTAACACATAAAAAACTCATACAAAATTTAATGTGTCTAAGTAAAACGGTTTTCACATCAAAGCGAAGAAGCCAAAGAAAGATTTCAGTGGTCATGACAGGAAATTATAAAGTACAAGTAGGCGTGGCCTCTCATGATATGATGGTTACGCCGAGGTCGATGGAAATTCACTCACTGGTTTCGATATCACTAAGATTCGACAGACACGTGGACATGGCGACGCCATTTGCCTGTATTTCTTTATGAAACGAAGGAAGTAACCTATAAAGGTACACAAAGTATATGAACCCTTTTCTGGCAAAGTTGGCGAGGTAGCGTATAAACAGACGGGAGACGGAGCCATCCTGATGAGTGTAGTTGTGCGGGAAGAAGGGTTGACCGCCGACGAGCGGCAGGCCCAGTACATAAGGCACGTCTTCTCCCCTCACACTCCCCAGTCGCTGCAAACACAAAGAAGAGTACTGCAGGTACGCAGACACACGTGCGTTCCGAACGAGTTCTTGTGATTTTTCCTGTCACACTGAGCTTACAGCTAATTTTTGCAGATAAAAGTGAATCGTTTCAGACAAAACCTGTTAGTCACGCTACAGAATCGACACTGCGGCAACAGAAATTATATTTCCCTGTATTTCATTAACAACTGGTACACTATTGTACCTGAACCCAAAGGTTCAATGACACAAACACCAAAGTCTGCGATCATCTGGCATCAAATGGAATGTGACGATGGCCACATGCAGTACGTCAGGAAATGATTCGGAAGGAAGCAGTTGTAGCCTATTCAAAGGTACTATTATGGAATCTGAATAGAATTTTTACAGAAAGCCGCAAAAACCTCATGATAGGTGTTAAAGCAGCGATATTCAAATTACACAACCTAAACATAGAAGACCGAGTCTTACCACTACACAGTAATGCTCGGTAGGATTTCTGTCAATTACTTCATAGGTGAGTAGAGTTAAGTCATCTGACAACACAGCCACAAGATCACACTCTGGCCCACAACGGCTCCAGCAACATATTATTACACAGCCTCTAGGACTCATCGAGTAGGACGCATGACGTCTATAAAAATCAATCCCACAATCTAAACGTACACAGCGATATATCCAAAATATTAAATTGAAAAATGCCTCGTGCAAAGAATGGGCATATTCAATCCAGTTTTAACCTTTGTTACTTTTAGTTTTAATTCAAAACAAATTATTTTATTTTATACCATTTTAATGTTCAGGCTGATTTAATCTTTACACCAGTTGGGAAAGAAAGAAAGAAACTGGCCTTAAGATGGTATTTTAATACTGAAAATTTTTGCAAAAGTAAATTTAAATTTAATGATTAAAAAGCATCATGAAGGATTTAACTGGTATAAATACTAAAAAGACACACTGAAATGCTCTCATATATGACAGTAAACAGTACAGCATTTCAAATCAACAATCACAACACGAGAAACTAACATAATTCTACTTCAGAAATTGTTATTAAACAGCAAACATCTGCTCATTCAGGCTACTTATGTAGCAGATGAGTGAAGTCAAAGGATGAAAGACTTAATTTCCTCACGCACAGTAGTTTTGCAACAAACTTGTGACATCTTAATTAACTTAATATTGAATGGACAAACTCTAATAAGTAAATTTAGAAGAGCACAGAATGCCTTATTGCCATGAAGACAATAGTTTCAGCAATGAATGCATTTAATTTCTGTCTCTAATCACTCAATAAAGCAGCGTGGTGAGGGATTTATACAGACCACATTATTAAGTAAATGTCCTAATTATTGAATGACAAACATTGGGAACATTTAACACATTAATAGATTTTTGGGATTCAAAGTTTAATGTGAGATTATATGTTGCTGTTACGAATTCATATGGTCACAGAAAAGTTTTTAAGAATATTATCTTTAAAGCAAATTTGTGTAATTAGAAATGTGAACCAGAAAATTTAATGATGATGTTCCATATAGCTGGCCTAAGTAATGTGCACATGATCACAGGATCAAATCCCATCCTGATCTTACTGTGATGTTACTTTGTGTTTTATTTATGTATGTACAGATGTAGGGGAAGTGGGGGATTCCTTTCATCTTACAGGAAAATTTAACTTTCTTGCTTTATAAACATTGTTTACAAAAACTAAAAGCTGAATCTTAGAGAGTAATTCATCATGAATACAACACACAGATAATTTTGTATTAATTTCTGCTGTACGTGATTTATTTTTCAAAAACAGAGAAAAAGAAAAATGTGACAGCTCTAATCGAATGGGAAATTCATAGCATGTTTCCAGATAAAATAAACTACAGAATCCGCTTAACAGATCATAATCCGGGGCTGAGAGAAGACTTCATGTCGTCACACTGCCTAGTATTTGGGCAAAGCCACACCATAAAGTGCCATTACCCCGGACGTGGTTAACAGCACATTATTTATTTCCGCCTGAACCCAATATGTTACAAGACTGCAGCTTCAGAAGAACAAACACGCAAATTTGTACTTTCAAATGTTATCGTTTGCTATAAGAAATAAGATAACTAACTTACACTTAGCGTGCAATCTGTTAACTTCAAAACTTTGAACAGACATGCCTACAGTGAGATTTTTCTTCGCCACAAACAAACAAACGCCAACCTACGCCGCCATAACAGCTCTAGACTGTTTGTCTATAGTCACCAGAGATGTCAGGGTAAACAGAGCGCGCTCAATTCAAATCGTTTGAAACATAATTAAGGTGGCTGCATTATTTTAGGGGCGCTCCCCCACCCCCAAAAGATTCTGTCTAATTTACATTTATTAGACATAAGAATATAATGTTCTGCACTATTGCTGCATCTACAACTGTTGACTTTTAACATTATGTGACATATTTTATAAGAAGAGTTATTAACTTCCTTCTTTCAAAATTCCATGTTCTTAGTCCAAAATTTGATATACATCCTTGGCAAGTTGTTAGTTGTAATATTCTTGTAGGCTTGCCATGTTGTTTTGCATTTTACAGAAAAAATTTATGTTAAAATCTTGGTATATTTTGAAGAGATATTACCATTTATTATTTCAAGAACTTACATCAACACTTTAGAAGCCGACTTCATTCGGAAATTCTGCATTTCGCCCACAGATTGTATTTATGGGTTTCACCTTATTCTCAGAATAAACACTAACTGGTCCCCTGAACAGCATTTACCGACTTTTAGTGGTGCTCTCACCTTACAAGTCTGAATGTGCCACGATATCAGCGATTGTAAGAAATGAGGGGCGTAGCCTCTAATGGCCATACCAAATTTTGTGATGACCAAAGAACAACACAAGAAGTCAGTGCATGGATTTCAAGAGCTCGCTCATGAACTGCACAACTAGAAAGACGAATTATTGCACAGAATTAAGTTGCCTTCTACTGTGATTCGTGCATGGACGGAAGAACCAACTGATTCTTAAGTTACTTAAGAACAATCACTCAACAGCATAATGTGAAATAAAGAAAG